AAACCCGTGTGTAGCACAAGTCTGCAGGGGTACAAGGTGCAATGGAAGAAACAGAAACAAGCAAGAGCAGTAGTAGCTGGAAGTGGTGACAACCAGTGCAGAAAGAAGAGAGAACAGAAGGGAGAGAGGAGGAATGAGGAGGCGGCTGCGGCTGGTGCTGAAGCCACGCTCCCACCACCCCCTCACCCTCCCCCTCCCCCTCCCCCTCCCACTGCTGCAGGAGCAGCAGAGGGGGGGGGGGGCAAACAGAGGAGGATGGGGCCGTAGGGCCAGGGGACCACACATCACCCATCACCCCCACACCCGCCACCCCCAGTCCCTCCCCAGGCTCCCCACAGTCTCACACCCACCCTGCAGAGTACCTGGATCGAACCACGCTGCTGGCCTTCACCTTCACCAGCAAGGACTCCGCCTTTGGGGCATCCCTGGAAGGATATGCCGTGGCACTCGACAAAGGTGCGTGCTGGAGAGGGGAGCACGAGGGGCAACGGGAAGTGGGGAAGGGGTGGAATCTGAGTCGCCTTTGGAGCTGCAATCCCCCTGCAATGCTGACTCCTTGTTTGCCAGCCTCAGAGGTTGCGGATGGTATGCGAGCAACGCGATCTCGCACCCTCACATTTCCCCCTCCATGCCTTCCATGCCTCCTCCTCACAGATGTGTGCAAGGCACCGTGTGGGCAGAGTGTGCGTGGAGCAGCCCAAGGTGGTGCCATCGCTGCCCTTCTACTATTGAGGATGACAGCACGCACTGCTATGACAGCTCACTCTCTCCCACACCCACCCTCTTATTCCTGCAATCCGCCCTCCCTCCTGTGCAGATGTATGCAAGGCGCCGTGCGGGCAGAGCGTGGAGCAGCCTAAAGTGGTGCCAGCACTGCCCTTCTACTACGAGGATGACAACAGCAGCTAAAGCGTGCAGGGACTGCTCACTCACACTCCCCCACACACACCCTCTCATTCTTGCACCCATGCAGATGTGTGCAAGGCGCCGTGTGGGCAGAGTGTGGAGCAGCCCAAGGTGGTGCCGGCGCTGCCCTTCTATTACGAGGATGACAGCACGCACTACCGTGACCTGTACAACGCCAAGCTTGACAAGTGCCATGACACGGGGCCTGATGTGGTCTTCCAATACACGCCACCCCAGAACATGGTGAGTGGGGGTGACCTGCAAATACCCTAGCTGATTGTCTAGTTCAGTAAGGCACTACACAACGCCCTACCACATGGTGAGCACATGGTCTAGTGCCATTGCTGCCCACTACGAGGATGACAACACGCACTACCGTGACCTGTACAATGCCAAGCTCGACAAGTGCCATGACACGGGGCCCGATGTGGTCTTCCAATACACCGGGTGAGTGAGGTGCTCTCGCACATGGTGAGTGAGGTGCTCTCGCACATGGTGAGTGAGGTGCTCTCGCACATGGTGAGTGAGGTGCTCTCGCACTGCTTGCGGACATGCCTCATTCACCTCCCTATGGTCTCTTACTGTGTGAAAGCATCAAGGGTTGCAAAGTGGTGTCAGTGGACCTGTGACCACGGAGTTTGACTCACTGCGCAGTGCTTATGAGCGCACCAATCCAGCAGCTAGACACATACTCTTCCGCGTCCTTCCCTGTTCCCTCCGTCCCTCCTCCCGATCAGGTGGTGTCAGTGGACCTGTGACCACGGAGTTTGACTCACTGCGCAGTGCTTATGAGCGCACCAATCCAGCAGCTAGACACATACTCTTCCGCGTCCTTCCCTGTTCCCTCCGTCCCTCCTCCCGATCAGGTGGTGTCAGTGGACCTGTGCAGCCTTACCGAGTTTGACTCGGTCCTCAGCGCATACGAGCGCACCAAGCCCGGAGCTAAGCCGGTATCCATCGCATGCAACGACGACTCCTGTGGCACCAAGTCGAAGCTCTCAGGCCTCATCCTCGCCAGGGAACCACCTACTTCTTTGTGAGACCCTACCCTGCTTTCTGAGAGCCTTGATCGCAATTTTTTTCTTTCTCTCCACATTTTTAGCTCTCCATTGTGACCATTCTTTGGACAACGCTGCACACTGCCCCCCTGACTCTTTTCCGCAACTCGTTTCCCCATTTTGTGGATGCGTGCGTGTTCGCGTCCCTCTGCTGTCATACCTGGCAGATGGTGGACGGGTGGGGAGGCACAGGGGGCAAGTTCGCAATCAACATGGTTGTCACCAAGGTGCTCAAGGCCCTCGACGCCAAGGCACCCCGTAACAAGGCGTTCCAGCCCATCCGCTCCAAGGCAGTTAGCGCAAATGCGCTCGCCTCTCTGCGATCCATGCCTGTGCCACCACAGTCTCACCAGCTTCATCCGCTCCTCTCTCTGCCCATCAATCCCACCTCCTCCC